AGAGGGTGTCCCAGCAGGACCCATTCGCGTGATTCCACACGAAAGACTGGTTCTGGCTCCAAGCGCCGGTCACCTAGCCAAATTTTGTCCATATCTAACCAGAAGACTGCCAGGTCTGCCAAGAGCTTATCCAAAGGTCCACGGTTAGCAAGGCGAGTTCGCAAATCTCCAGCATCTATGTAGTGGTTAGCATCATAGTGTGGTGAGGTTTGTAATCACAAGTCAACATGCTTTGGTTTAATCTGGGATATTCCATAGTGTGAGAATTGCTACGCTTTTTTTCTCCGTTACAGGGGTCATTTTCTTGTTTGTTTGTAGTAATTATGTGCATTCAGAATGTCCTTTCACAAGTTAAAGAACTGGTCGAGTATTTCCTAGCTTCTGTCTTGACTGGCTTGACACATGGAGTTCTCTAGGTGTGTTGCGCTGTGTGGCCAGAACCTTGACATATAAGGCTGATCTTTCAACCCTGCATGAGCACCAACGTTGATGTCATGCACGCGTTTGTACATTTTAGCTACCTTCCTTGTCTGATGAACTTCAGGATAGTTAGTCAATTCCCAAATTTTCACGATCATTTTGAGGGCATGGCGGAACTATTGATCTGTGTTCTGTTCATAAATTCGATTTTGAACATCTAATATTGGAACCAGTTTAAAACTTGAAGGCTTTACCTGGCAATACAAGTCTGTATTTGGCTTGAAGTAAAGAGAACCCAACTACTAAGAAGCTGTAGGTCAATCTGTCAATGTGACCAATTTCAATGAGAAATGCCATTTGTCCTTCACTAGTGCACAATATAGCATGTCTTTGAGATTGACCTTAATGCACTCTGCCGAAATCCTCAGGAAAATTTCGGAAACTACTCAACCACCAAATGCACGACGGACCATAATTTTGATATAATCGGCGGAATCATTAATACTCAAGATGTATATCTTTTTAATGTACAATTAGAGCAGCACACTTTTACTGTTTGTTTTTATTTCTATTTGAATATAATATGTGTGTATTAAATATTGAAATGATATTATTCAATATACTTATAGAATAGTTGTTTAAAACATGTGAAAATATATCTGTAATGATTGATGCAGGACTATTTTTTATGTTTTAAATCACTAAAAAAAACCATAGCATGATAAACATCTCTTTCATTCACTTACCTTTATTGCTCAAGCAACTTGGTTTGTAAGAGAGAGTATTCAATAGAGTCCAGAATGTCTTTCAAACAAGGCATTAAAATTTGGAATACAGGACGGATAAACCTAATGTTGATGTTTGTTTTATTTGTTTATAGTTGTTAAAGTTCCAAGGGAGTCAATGGGGGGGGGGGGGGGGGGTATTTGAAAGAAATTGATTAGCACCATGGTGTAAAAAAAAAGATTTAAAGTTTGTTTGTAGTATTGGGTAGAATGTCCATTAATCAAGAATGATTTGTAAATATTTAAACATTCAAAATTACCAAAATTGATTATACAATTTTTTACTATTTATTGAAAATTGTACGTGTTTTTATTCTATTATTTTATATATGATTTAATATGTTTTTCAATAATTTTTACTTAAATCTACAGAATATTAATGGTAATTTATTTTAAAATAAATATGACAATATATATGTCTAAAGTTATACATTGTTAGTAAACAAGCATATTCTGTGACACTAATAATAATAAAAAAATCAAATAAAAATAAAAATAAAAATACCTTTAATATATGTGGTTGAGATTTTAAATGAAATTTTAAGCATTTAAGTTTTTATTTTTATTTTTCAAATTACTAAGCTTCTTTGATATATATATATATATATATATATATTAGATTTCATATTTGAAAAACAAAAAAATATTATATTTTAATGTTAAAAAGACACAATAATTCAAAGCTAAATAATTGATTATGATTTTTTTATGAGATGTAAATTTTAAGGGAGCTTTTGCACTTGTAAATCTAATAATTTAATAATAGCAGAGAGAAGCACATCAGGAGAGCTAGTTGGTAGAGAATTCCTTAAAAAAGTAAAAAAAAACCAATAACATCATACCGCCATAGAATTTACTAAAACATATAGTTTATAAAAATACAAATTAAAAAATAAAAACATAACTTATAAAGAATGTAAATAGAGACACACAATACCATCAAATTTTGTTTCTAGTCTTGCCTTAACTTTGGAAAGAGTAATCAATTAAACAAACAACTAGGCAATAGTGGGGCAAGCAAAACCTAGACCAATATAAATAATGTGAGGTTAAAGTCAAAGATTAGCTTAATAATAACACAAGCTTTTGCAATGGCTTAGAAACTTTGTAATGTTGGGTAGAGCTCAAATTTGCTTTCCATTACTCATTCAATAGACTAAATACACTATATTTATATTTTGACACATCTTTTTAGTACTTAATGGCTCCTCTCTAACAATCCCCCCTTAGCCTTTGCCTCACCCGCTTGGTCTTTGATCTTAAATTAGGACTGATTTTCGCAAGCAAGAAGTGGCCAATAATAGACATATAAAAACTTTGTTAAATTGCCCAAAATCCATTTATGAATGAAGGAAAAAAATCACCATAATAGAGGTCTAGGGAAGATCCAACCGTAGCCCATAGGATGCCCACAGATGTGTGGAAACACTAACATTGTGATGAAAGGAAATTCTATATTTAGCGAAGTTAGTGAAGGAGGGAAGGAACATTACAAAGGAAAAGGCCAGCGTGGAAAAGTCAGGCGAGGTGGAAAGCTAATACACGCGGCATACTTTTTCGCGGAGCTTTTTTGGGGGGGATATTAACGAGAAGGGCGTTGGTAAGGGGGAGAGTTTGGTGTGGTGTCAAGTGCCGTGGTGCCGCTGGGGCTGCGGCGGGGAGGAGGCCCCGGTTGTCTTCGTAGTCATGGGCTCCTCCTCCTGCTGATCGTCGTCCCGTTGCTCCTCTTGCCGCTACTCCTCTCAACCGTCAACAATGCGGCACAACGTCCTCCACTTATACTAGCATGTCGCATGTTTGATGTTGGGTTTTACTCATCGCACGCGGGTCTTGCTGCTACCGCCATCGCTGCCTCCGCCATGGCGGGCCTTGGCCTGGCTTTGGCCTTCGATCTGCCAGTGATCGCCTCCAAGGGCACCCTGCATTCGTTCTCGACCTTGAATGCGCTCACGGCTGCCGCTTCTGCCTCCTCTGCCGTCTCATTTCTCGGGGCTTCATTACTCGCGCACTTCGATGCCAGGTGGGTACATACATGTTTTGCGATCTCTGTCTCTCCCCCCTTCATCTCCCAGGTTTTGGACGTGTTTATATTGCGATGGATCTGCGCATCAACGAACTTTTTTATTTATTTGTTGTCGTTTCGTGTCTAGGGTTCATCGTGAGGCTGTGTTCCTTATGCCGACGTCTGCTCGATTATTCAGACCCAGTATTAGGTTTTCGGTGACTCGTCGTACTTGGTTGGGTTTAAGATGGGTAATTGGAACACGATTCTTTATTTTTGGCGAGAAACCAGAAACCCTCTACCCCTGGAACGATTTGCATTGGGTCCCGAATTGTTGGAAAAAGGCGGCACTTCCTTGCCGTAGTGAAATGCGTGTGTACATATCATACGGTTGCTTAATTTGGAGGCGCTTCGTGATTAGGATTAGTAGTTACCTCGGATGCCCCGCTTATGACAATACAGATCCTCCTATTCTCGGTGGATAGCAATGTGAGCACGTTTCTTCTCTTTTCTACATAAAAGTTCGTTCATGCACTTCTGTATTAGGATGATCCCGAGGTCTTTCAGCAGAAGGGGGTCATAGCCGTTAAGAATATTTGCTATTGGTGTTGGAAACGTCTGTAGCTTTTCTGATTGCATAATTGACACATTAGTGCTCTTACAACATTACAAAATTCTATGACTGTGTCAAACGGATGGATATCGTAGTGCATACAGCACATCCGCACGCATGTTTCCTTGGATTCAAAGGTTTTGCGAGCGTCTGATTATCATTTGAGCAGCAGTCAGTGGTACCAGATGCCTGTTTCTATGAAATCCTTGTGATGCTTGAGTGCAGCAGTTGATTCGGTCTCCTTTTCAGCCTTGTTTGTTTTCATTTGCGGTTGGTGTGTCTGTGTGTGTATGAGGAACAGCAGACCTTTTTGAGGGGTTACAATCCACTCACCTTTTTGTTATCTGGCGTTTGTAGGGACTGGACTGGACGCGCTGCTTACTGTGATGCGACAACTGCAAACGCAGATAGCTGGGAAGATAGTATATGTGTGCCGATTCGGAAATACTCAGAGGAGAAAACCTACAACATTGAGTTGAAGCCTCTTTTTTCTGCCTGCAGACCTAGGGCGCTTGGAGCAACAACTATCAGAGCATTCCTTGTTAATTATCTCCCTTTGCTTGAGGCTTATTTGCAACCCGAGGATGACGAGTTCGAGGAGGATATTGATCGTCCTGCGCGGCCTCCAATGGATCCGGTTCTTCCGCTGAAGCGATCAGTTGCACATATATTGCGCGAGGTATACCTTTTATCTGTAGTTGGGGTATCTAACTGCGACTGATTCCGCACTAGAGTTCTGTAATAACATGGATGTGGATATCGACGTTAAGGCTCCATGTGTTGATAGAAGTGAGTTCAGCAAAGGACTCCTGCAGCCTATGCAATCTGGGATTGCGAAGAACGGAATATTCAATTTCAAACATACCGGGTTGAGGTGCTACCTTGCCGCATTTTTAAGCAATCTTTAGATGTATATGAGCGTGATGTACCTTAACAAATACACTTTGCTTGTGTTTTGGTGCCGATGCTGGATGTATTTATTGCTGGTCTCAATGTATTCGATTTGCCCATTTTAGGTTTCTGTTATCACCACTCGACGGCTACTGGAAAGGATAGCTGTGCATTACGTCTCTGATCGTACGGCATGGAAGCTTCTCAAAGGTGATTTCTTCACAATTTCATCACTGTAGACTTGAATACTTGTGCATGTTTTCAACGCTTGTCATGGTGTACCTGCATGCACCTGGATGATTATTATTTACGTGGTTCACAGATTCACATGTTGCTATCTGCCTAGTACAAGTTCATTTTACTGACCATTAGTAACAGTGGGTCGTGCTTCATCACTAATGGATTGGAATACTTGCAGATATTCCAAAGTCTGCAATCCGTAAAGCAGGAAGAGATCTATCTCCTGTGGAGATGTTCACAGCTGTGAGCAGAACAACTTTTCGTGGTATGTCATAACTCTTTCAAGCTCAACTGCTCTGTTGTTTGTAGCATCAGATTAGTGAGTTGCTGTCTTCGGTTCGCCTGTTCTTGTGTGGTTCCACAATTGTGATCATTGTGGGAATATTTACTGGCTGCAGCTCATGCGTTAGGAGTACTCGCAAATTGGATGGTGCAGCTGATAATTGATTCCTATAGAACTATCCGCCTCTCTTTCATATTGCGTTCAAAGGAGGGAAAACCGGTGGGAATCGAAGTTATTGAGCTCAAAAGACTGGGAAGAAGAACACTTGGAAACACACTAAAGGGTAGTGCGTCTCTTGTTCTGGCATCAGCTGGTGCCGGCCTTGGTACTATCCTCATCAGGCCCTCCACTGGAACCTGGATTGGTAATTCTCTCCTCAGCAAGCGATTTGTCCAAAGATTGTATTGCGGTGTCTTTTTCACATGCTTTAAGAATATGAATCCTGTGGTTTTCAATGTACTAATGGTTTGGTCGATCCGTGCACGCAGGCTGTGCTGCTGGTGATTTTGCTGGGCCTTTTCTGGTAGGCCTCTGGTTAGACACCTGGATTGTGCATGGTAGCTTCACTCCTGGATCTAATAAGGGCCAGTGATTGTTCATTGTAGACATTCGATGTACTAGTAGGACTGGATGTCTCAAGTAGATCAAATTTCAGAAAATGCATCTGCGTGAAACATTGCAAAAATTCAAGGTCATTTTGTGCCCGTTCATCGGATGTATGGAGCTAATGAGGGAAGTCTCAACCAGGGACGATATTAATCATTGGATTGGCGATTGGACTCCATCATGGAATCACCACTTGAGGTTGTGCAAACTCGGGGGATTTGTTTTGATTTCATAGTTCAGACATTTGAGTTTGGGTCTTGGTGATCTCAAGGTACTACAATTAGGATTTATATCTGTACCTTCTCACTGACATGTTTGGGCAGGCGTTAACTTACCCTCAATAAATGGGGATAGCTTATTCTCTTGACCAACACTTTCGACATGCATTTTCCAGAAAAATCCAATCATGAGTTAGGCCCTGTGGGATATCTTGAAGGTTTTATTTTGCTCAACAATTGTCTGCTATGTCAATCCAAGTTGATGAGTGGACAAGCTTGAGAACTTGTCAATATCCTAGCAAGCGACTTTTGTAAAGTCTGCAATATCCACATGCTCATTATTTGTGAATTTAATGTTTGAAAATATTCTTTCAAGTGTTTTTGTACTGCACACTACCTTGTTCAATCGAGAAATTAATAAACGTTTTCGTTCAATTAATGGTTATTATTTTTGAACTTCCTTGTGGCTTCGGTTATGTTGAATGAATAGTTGAGGTTTGTACCCGAAGAATCTATCCTGTTACCGTTCCTCAAAGCTTGTTTGGAGGTTGAGTTTTTTAAATTTTGTTTTACAACTGATAAGTGTATGTATTCTTGAACTCTCTCGTCTTCTAATTATTTATTGATTTCATCTACTTAATTTGTTTGGCCTTCTGCAATTTTATGAAATCTAGTTGTTTAAATTTTATGTTTTTCAAAACGTTTTCCTTCCAAGAATGCAATGAGGGTCCAAATTGACTGGACAAGTTACATTTTAAACAAAGTACTAGGAGTAATAATTTATAGTAAGGAATTAATATTGGAATGAAAATGATAGACTGCTAAAATAACTCACAAGACTAATGCTGGTATTAATATGTAATTTTTCTATTATTAACATTAAAAAGGAACACACAGATGGGCTTATTTTCATTATTCAACAAAGCCTAGTGAAATAAATTTATAATATATTTTACTGTTGCTATTAAACTAAATAAATAAATTAATGTAACAGTAAAATTTATTGTAAACAATACTTTAATCTATCATTTAGATAGGTGCTAAGTAATTATCATGATATATATGTATTACATAATACACAGAAAATAAATAATAAAATAATAAACTGATAAACTAGTTGGATGCAATACTAATACCTCCAAATACATGTTTGAAATAAAATTTATTCTAGCAATTTTGTACACAATACCAAAATTTTATGCACATTAAAAAACATATATGTATTTATATATCTCTCTTTCTATATATGGAGAGATATACACATAAGTTAATATACAATAAAGATCAAACAACTATATGAGTGTAATTTTATGTCTATTGTTTTTATTTTTTAAATCTAATTTATAAATATATATATATATATATATATATATATATATACACCAGTTATGTTTAAATGAAATAATTTTAATAAATCAATTAATTTTCATAAAAAAATACCAAAATTTTAAAACATTTGTATTTGCTTCACAAAATAGATTAAAATTTTGTAAAAATTGCAACTTGATTATGATACTAATATTTACTTTGCACATAATATTAAATTATTTATCATTAATTTCAATACTTTTATTATCAATTATATATATATATATATATATATATATATATATAACTTAATTTTTTTTTCAATTCAATATATAAAATAATCATTATTGTAACATATTAATCATTTAAATGAAAATATTAATTATTTAGAAGAATGTTAAATTGATCTTGGCTTTAACTAAATTGACACAGCTATCAAAACCATCATTACACCTTGATGTTTCTTGTCCGTGTTTCTCTATTTTCAATGCCCATTTCTTATTCCAATCCATCTATCTTGATTTCCAATATCCATCTTTTTTCTATTTTTAGCCCTTGTTCTTTGTCTTGACTATACTCTTCAAGCAAGTTACTATCTCATGACTAATCTTCTTAGAACTCTTATCAAAGTATAATTATACTCATGTTCGATGTATTTGTTGATTGATTGATCATTTATATGAAGATAATCCAAACAAAGAAGCTTCACATTATACTTAACATTTACTAATTGTGTCTCTACTTTTCTTTACATGCTAATTGTCTTATTTTTAAAGAAATTATATGGATATATACAATAACTACAATTTCATGAGTATTAATTTGTATATCTTTGTAGGGACTTAAAGCCATAAGAGTGGGTGATGTGGAAGGTAAAAAATCCGCTAATGAATTTGAATAAGTGGTGCTATTGTAGAGAATTTTGGTTTTGTATAGGAAATGAGTAACAACCTTTAGATTACTCATAATGGGCTATGGACTTAAGAGTGTGTTTAGTAGATGTTTGGCTAAGTTGTGGTTTTGAATATTAAGTATCTATATTTTATTTTGAGATAAAGTTGAAGGATTTTTGAACTATACATGTTGCACCTTGTAAAGATAAGTACTTGGCCTATTTAGTGATTTGAAATTAACAACTTGTTGAGTAGAATGTTGCATGGATTTGGAATTGGCAATCAATTTAAATTACCATTACAATGATTATAGATGGAATTTCATGATTTGTCAAAGTTATTTTTTTTTTTATATAAAAATATAGAACTTAGAATTGATTTGTAGATATATTTCATAAATGTCCACAACTTTCTAATTTAATGATGTTCTTAAAAGAGATTAAAAAAATATATATGATTGATTTGATGATTATTTAAATATTAGATTAAACATAAAAGTTATAAGCAATTGTAGATTTAAGAACAAAGTTGTTAAGATACAAATCTTCACTAAGTTAAAGTAGTTATCTTAGAAAGCTTCAATTCTGTAGTGATATGAAGGTTCAAGCAATAGCAATGTTAGATAGCAAACACTTCTTTGATTTCCAAACAATGATTTTAGATTGATGATCTACAATTGATAGAGCAAAGTAATATTAAAAAAAATTACAATTTCATTGTTATATTTCTTAATTTGATTAAATTTCCACAAGTCAATAAAATTCAATCAAGATTATGTCATCTAGTTGTTACTAGTTGGAATATGATTTACATGTGAAGCTCAGTAGAAAGAATTAAAAGTTAAAACGAATTGATCTTCCAAATTCCAAATTAAGTCTTCCAAGTAGTTTTTCAGACCTTGATATTAGCCTAATAGTTGAGGTTTCCACCATGGTATTCAATTTTCTATTACCTTCAAAATTACTATTTTATTCAAATGTTCTTAATAAAATTTCAAATATAGCACTATGTTCGAACTATTAGAGAAGCAACAACCTTCTCAATTTGAATTCTACTAACAAAGATTTAGGTGCTGCAATCACATCTATCATGGACCTACACATGAAAGCCAATAATTACTTATATAAATATATAGAAGTAAGAAGAATTAAATAAAAATAAGTTAATTCTATAATATCTTTTATAGAAGCTTCTTAAAACCTTCATAGACGTTGCTCTGACTTTATAGGTGTCTATAATTGAATTTTTGGGTTAAAAAATAGTCAATAAGTTGGCCATGTGCCACACATGTTCTTAGCTTGAAGACCAAGTTAACTATATGGCCCACATATAAAAAAACTTGCATTGTAAGTCAAGGCATGTGTCCTACAAAGTCAATACATATTAGAGGTCTTATAGAACATTGCCACGTAGCCCTAGTTAGATAATATATATAGAGATAAGAGTGAAGCCATCTTCACTTTTGTCAACTCTTTTCTTACTTCTAGTATAGTTTCAAGAGTCTTAAATTTTCTTGTCCTTTGGCAATAACTCGTTCCAATTTCTTTTCAATATATGTACTTTCTTATTTCTATTTTTTCATTTTTTTTCTTTGATATGGATTTTATTTGTTTATGCATCATCTTCCAATTCATGTCTTTAACAGATTGACAAGAATACACTTATAATATCAAAGCTTTGGCTTGTCTTGATTAAGAGTCTAATATCCCTTTCTCATGATAAGACATAAGCATATTAGAAGTTGCGGATTACCCTCTTCTAAATTAATATTGTTCTTAGTATTTTCTTTGTCCCAAGTCCTTTCTTCTATTTGTCTTGAGTGATATTAGATATTTTTTTGAGTGTTATTATCGCAAAGCTTGTTGAAATGAAGAATGCAATGGTACAAATGCAAGAGCAATTGAGGAAATTCATGCTTGTGATGCATCAATTTAGCTTATCACTATAAGGATTAACAAAAATGGCACAAAGAGTGGACATAGAAATGATTAGAACTACTTCAATATCTATACCATATCATGTCCCTCCATCCACTGTGGAACATCCTTCAAGTGTTAGAGAACCAAGGATTGCTTTGTCCGAGAAGTTTGATGGTACAAGATCTAAATTTCAAGGATTTATCAATCAAGTACAACTTGTGATTGAACTTCAATCTCAAAGCTATCTAACTCCAAGATCACAAGTTAGATTCATTGGCACACTTCTTTCAAGTTCAGCACTATTACGGTTTTCATCTTTTCTTGAATGACGAGATTCAATATTGGATAATCAGGAGATATTTTTGGTAGAATTTTGGTCCATGTATGGAAAACATAATGCAACTCGTGTTCCAACCAACAAGATCCATATGTTACAATAAGGAAATCAATTTGTAACGCTATATGCTTCACAATTTCGACAAATTAGAACTGATATCAAATGAGATGATGCTGCATTCATTAGCTAGTTTTTCTATGGATTATAATATGAAGTAAAGAAATTGATGCTCAACTTACCTGATCCTTAAACATTGAGTCAATCAATTGACTTTGTTGTCAAATGCGACAATCAACTTTTTAAATTTCAATCTGAGAATCACACATATGGGCTTCAACATTACTACAATTTGATGGTAACACTAACATCTCCTCAAGACATACATTCAATAGTAGAGGATATGCAAATTGATGTGGTATGTTTTAAACATCTTATGGAGGAAGAAAAGACTCATTGCCATCAAGAAGGATTATGCTTGTATTATGGAGAATCTAAACACAATGTCCAACATTGTCCAAAGAATTGACAAAATCACAAAATGAAGGGCACATATGTCAAAGAAGACAATGTGTTGGAAAACAAATTTATCCAAGTACAATAAGGACTATATAACTGAAATCTTATACAACTTTTAATGAAGGTCTTATTTTCTCCTCAGAATCCTTTCCTTCTTTTATTATAGATGTGAATTTAAGACC